GCAGGGGAGGGCGGGAATGACCACCCAGCTCAGCCTCTGGGTCCCTGCCGTGTCCATCCTTCCTCTGCCTGCTTGCCTACCTGTCCGTCTGTCCAGCCATTCATGGTGCATTTCACAACTCTGTTCTTGTTTCCTTCCGCCTTGGGTTCAATAAACATTTTCTGGAAACCCGCTCTCTTCCTCCTCCATTTCTGTCTCTCTCTCCGCACCCATCGCCCATCACCGCTGGTTAGTCCTGGTTGCTCCTCCATCACTTTCTTCTCCCCACGCAGGGCACATGTGGGGTTCTCCTGAACCAGGAGCAATGCCTGGCCCTTGGGCCAAGCGGGGTGGCCGCTTTCAGCCTGGGGAGTGGAATGGCCCAGAAGTGGGGGCTTCCTGTCTCTTAAAAGCCGGGTGTTAGTGGAAGGGTCTTCCCCTCCCGGTATTTGGGGGTGGGGTCTGGACACACATACACCCCCCCTCCCCTTTCCTAGTCTGCCTGGTGGGGACTGGGGAGCTGCTTCAGGGGCTTGGCTGGGTTGCCTGGTTGTTGTCCAGGAGACGTGTGGGGCTTGGCTCCCCCGTGCTCTGAGGGGTGTGTGTGGCCTTGGAGGCCCCTGGAAGCACCTGGCAGCCTGGTTTCTGAGCGGTGGCCTCCTTTCTGTGCTGACGCCTCTCCCTTCCTTCCTTCCTTTCTCTTTCCTGCTGCCATGGATCTCGTCCTTTCTCCTCTAGAGCGCTCCCGGCAGGAGGTGGAGAAAAACCATCTCCTGGCCAGCGAACTGCAGGCTGTTCTGGACGGCCTCCACCACTGAGCTTGAGTGGCCCCCTGCCTGCCCTCTCCACCTCTACAGAGAGAGGGGGCTTCCTCTTAAGAAGGGTCAGGGGAGTGATCGTGGGGGGTGGGAGACTGCCCTTCACTTGCCTGCTGGTGCCCCCCAGGCCTGTTCTCCTGCGCTCTGGCCTGTGTTGGCGTCGGAGCCCAGCCAGGCCTCCGGAGGCCGGGGCAGAGAGCTGCTCACGGCCCAGTGGGTCCAGGCCACGATCCTGCTTGGTGCCGCCTCTCGCCTCTGCGTCTCTCTCTCTCTCTCTTCCGAGCTGCTGCTGTTCTTCATGGATTGGCACCCTCAGCTGAGCTCCACCACGGTCAGTCGGTCCATCAATCAGTGCTGGCTCTTTCTCAGGGGCCCGACTGCTCTCCTTGGGGCCAGAGGCCCTGAGCGCCCCACTCTGGTCCATGCCTGTGGGTCCCCATCCACCCCTTGTGGCCCTTCTTGGCCCCAGCAATGGTTGGGGAGCTGGTACTCGATGCTGTCCAGCGGAGATGCTGAGCTGACTTCTCTCCTCGGTGTGTGTGTGTGTGTGTGTGCATACGTGCGCGCCTCCTGCGCCCCCCCTCTCTCTCTCTCCCTCTCTCTCTCTCTGGGATGGGTGCTCCCTTCTGGCTGCTGTGTGGATGTGCCTGGGTGTCTGCCTGCCTTGTGTTTGCAGAGAACCTGGCCCAGGCCAAAGAAGAGAACGTTGGCATCCACCAGGTCCTCGACCAGACGCTGCTGGAGCTCAACAACCTCTGAGGGGCAGCCACAGCCCCGAGCCCACCTGCCCACCCGCACCGTTGCCCCACTGACACTTCCAGGAAAAGGGACACCCTCTGGCCCCAGGCCTTTGCTGGCCCCTGTGGGGCTCTGCCTCTGCACTGTCTCCACCCCTTCCCCCCCCCAGACATTAAAGCAAGTTCAACAGCGACATGGTCTTTGCGTCCACTTGTGGGAGAGGAGCAATTGGGGGAAGGGGGGGAGGTTAAGGCACACTGGGCTGCAGCTGGATGAGCCCCCCCCCAATCTCCCTGGAGGACGCTGTGCCCTTTGTGGCCAGGAGAGAGGGGCGGGGCGGGGTGGGTCTGCCCTTGGGCAGCTGCACACTAGCTGCTCTGGCACAGGCTCACCCTCAAGTACTGCACCTGTGCTGCAACACCTCTCTGTGCTGAGCCTACAGACGGGCAAAAAGAGTCGCATCCTTTTTCTGCTCATTCTTCTGCCTCCAGGGAGGAGCTGCAAGGTGCTCGGGGGGGGGAGGGGGCAATGGAAGAAGGCAAAAGGCTCATCGGGTGGGGCTGGGTGGATTTAGAGCGACAGGGAGTGGAGCCAGGTGGTTCGGCTTTTGCTCCTAGAGCCGTGGCATCTTAAAGAGCATCTAGAAACCCGTCCCCCACGGGGTGTGTGGCGTTGCTTCAACTGCTCCTGTGGAGAGGAGGCTATCAGGAATCCTGTCTGAGAATGAACCCAGCTGCCAAGACTCCCAGGGGTGGGCACCCTCCCTGTGGAAGGAGGGGAGAGCCTCTTCCCAAAAAGGAGCCTTGTGGCATGATGGTCCAACTGCTGTGCTGCAGTTTAAAACTCTGCTCACAACTCAGGCTCAATCCCAAGTAGCCAGCTCAAGGTTCCCTCAGACTTCCATCTTTCCAAGGTTGTTAAATTAAGAACAAAAAAAAAGTGACCAAAAAAATCACTGCAAGATCATTGGAAACGTGATTAATCCCTTCCAGCTGAAAAGGGGAGGGGGGAGAAAAGCAATCAAGTGTGCAAGACCCATCGGAAATGCACAGAAAACAAACGGAGCAGATTGGAAATGCACAAAGAACAAACGGGAACAGGTTGGAAACACACAAAAAACAAATGGAGCAGATCCAAAATGCACAGAGAAAAAAGAAAAAGCAAGGAATATCCTCAAGACTCATCGGAAATGGGAAAAAACACTCCAAAAACCAACCAAACTCCCCAAGACCCATCTGAAATGGGGGGGAACCCAAAAAACAAGCAACCCCCCCAGACCCATCATAGCACAGAAACAATCCCCCTAGCCCAAAACCACACTGCAAAACCGACCCAGAACAGTTTTTAAAAAGCAGGAAACTACCTTACCTTATGAGGCAGCCTCCTCTGATCGCACACTCTAACTGCTGGGGCAAAAAAGCTGCAAAGAAGCAGCCTCGTCACTACCTAGAGTTAGCAATTTGAATTTCCCGTCTTTTCCCCCCTGCCTTTTTCTGTTCATAAGTGGAAGCTCCGGTCGCAAGTAGAAGCAAAATTTTGCAGCCGGAGCTGGTCATAACTCAAAACGGTCATAAGTAGGGATGTTCATAAGTCGAAGCACCACTGTATTTCTCCAAAATACATTAACAAGTAAAAAGCATTGTAATTTTAAGCCACCTTTATCTTTTAAGCATATTAACAACATACACAAAATAATTCTAAACATTGTTCTCACCCAACCTTCCCCCGTTTACATCTATGGAGGAAAATCCATGATTGTTGTTGGTATCTAGTGTGTGCTTGGTATAGCATGAAGCCTTGCTATGCTGATATTTATTTATTTATTCATTTATTGGATTTCTATTCCACCCCCCTAAACAAAGTCTACTCAGGGCGGGTTCTATTAAACATTATAAACTAAAACAATTCAAAACAATAATGTTAATGCCTGTATGTTTGTCTTCCTATATTTATAGTTCACTCTGCTGTTCACACCTCCCCCCCACCGCAACTATATTTATAAACAATCTCTGTCTCCAGGGCCTGGAGATCCAGGGGTCCTGATTTCCCAGAAAAAAAAATGTTTCCATGGGAAATTCAATTGTTTCTACAGCCTTTGTAACTTCAGGGGTCTGTAACTTAATATCTGGCAAGATGCCTCTATGGTGATTACATTATTGTTATGACTAAACTTTTTGCAGACCTTAGAGGAACGATGCTCTGTACTAGAAATGGGGACAAACCGGTCCTGGTTTGTGGTCCATCAAGGCTGATAAACCACGAATTTCCTCCCTGTGAACCAACAAACCACAAATTGCTTCGTCAGTTTGTTGGGCTTTAAGACAGCACAAGGCTGTCAAAAAATAAAGCTGAGCCCCCACCGCCATAGCCTACCCCTTTCCCACAGCCCCCCACCTCCCTATTTTGCCACCACCACCCACGCCCACTGTCCACGCTCGCTGTCAGCAGCACCGCTTCAGTCTGCTGCAGCTTGCACTGAGGTGGCCTGCACCACCACCATCCACTGCAGCCTGCTAAGGTGGCATCTGCTGCTGCAGTCCGCCATAAGGGAATGCGGACTGCCCTTTACAAAGATGGCTGCTGCGGCTTCCCTGCCTTCAGGGAAGCTGCAGCTGCTGTCTGCAAAGGGCAGCCAGTGCCCCTTACAGCAGGCTGCAGCAGCAGAGACCGCCAAAGCAGGTGGCAACGGATGGCAGTAGTGCTGGGCAGCGGTGGATGGCATCAGCAGCTAAAGAAGGAAGGAGAAGGGGGAAGGCTGTGAGGGTAGGCGACTGTGGGTCCATTGATCAGCTGTTGAGCAGGCCCATAGGCAAAGGGAGAAAGCCATAGGCAAAGAGGGAGAGCTAGCCTTCCCTCTCTTCCTATGGGGGATGAATACAAATGGAGAAATGTTCATCCCTTCATATTCATCAAGATCTCTGGAACTGATTAATACAAAGGGACAAATATTAAACGAATCAGCATTTTTAAACAATTATTGTAATTCTTTTCTATTATTATTCATCCCCATGTTTAGTCTGTACTGTTATGCATTCTGTGTGCTAAGATACACTCACCCTAAAATCCAGAAATGCTAGACTATTGTGAACTCAAAATCATTGAAAGGGTACACTACGTATGGGACTTACAAATGCCACCTCCATATTTACACATTGTAACATCAAGAAGTTGATTGTAACATAAAGATACTCAGTTTTCTGTTATTCAAGCCATCATTTTAAAAGCGCTTTTTATTTTCAGGCTATTTTTTCTATACCCTTTCATTAAC